TGTTTGATTTAATTTTTTATAAATAGCAATTATTTTTTAAGGGTTTGGGATTTGTCCAGGTTTGGCCGGCAAGTATATATGTAACATTTCACAAAGGATACCAGAACTGAAGCTATACATATAATTAATATGGAAAACACACTACAAGCAACAGGCTCCATTTGTCTCTCTCAGGCGTCTATCGCCAATAGCAGGTCTTCAAAAACCAATTCGGATCCGGATCCGGATCCGGTTTATGCAGTGATGTAAATTGGATCCGCGCAGTAGGCGCAGCGTACATGGATTTAAATTTGCGCATATATCATATATATAAATTTCTTTTTTGTGCATATTTTTTTTGCGTTTGCGCCAATAAAAATTTTTTGAATTTATAACACTGGCTACAGGTACACGTGAGAGATAAGTGGAGCCTGTTGTCAGTAATATATTTCCATATTATATAATTATATATATTGTAAAATGCTACGTACGTACTTTCATGCCCATTAAAATAGCGGATCCCGTTCGAATCTTTTTTGCGGAACACTACCAAAAATAGAAATTTTAGAGAAATAGACCCACACAATGATAAAATTAGACTGGAAACATTTTTCGCTAAAAACTTATCTAGCGTTACCAACCTAAAAAATTTCGCTGTTAGATTAGGGTTAGGTTTTGCTATTAAGTTAGGTCAGAAGAGAGTTCTAGTAGCACCAAAATTTCGCAAGAAAAACTTTTTTTTAGTGCCCAGAAGGTGGTTTCATAGACAAATCTTGAAATTTGATTGGCCAATGAAATTTTTTAGGTTGGTAACGCTAGGACAGTTTTCGCAAAATGGGCGGCTGTGATTTCATTAGTAAAATTTTAAATAGCTTCGGCCTAAATTTTTGATCGTCGCTCTTAGCCAGTGACAATTTTGGTGCGCAGCTGGTTCAATGGATAAATACGTAGTCTCAGAAGTCAATGAAACATCAAATTTTTGTGTCATTACTTCGCTGGCCTTAAAAAAAATAAAAATAATTTTAATCATAAGGTTAACCATGTTCTTTAAGTCAAAGCATTATTGTATAACACTGCTATTGGGTCAGTCTTTTGACTTAAGCAGTGAAGGATCGTTTAATTTTAGGATTAAGGTTATTTTTAAAAATTTATATAAAGAACCTTTGAACACTAAAAAATAAATATTTTAAGTTAAAATCAACTTCTATATTTACCTTCTAATCAAATTAATAAATTTACATACGTATAAAATTTAGGTGCTGGCGCAAAGTACAATAAGTATGCAATAATTGTATATGTGTCAGGCTGACTGACATAATGAATTATAACGGCATGGTACTTTGAAACATTAGTATGTACATATGTATAAAAAAATGTAATCTAAAATTTTTTTTCATTATCTTACGTAGTAACAACGCATATCGATATATTGGTTTTTTAAGTTCATAAACCGATTTATACGTATTAAAACGATTTATATGATAACGCAGACATAAATAATTAATAGGTTCTGCGTATTCTTTTCATTCGCAAAAAAAAAAGAAAATCTGGCTTAGAAAGGAAGATCGATACCAAACGTAGGATTCCTCTGCTGAACAATACTGTATTAGCTTTTTTACGTACTATCGCTATTTAAATTTAATACGTACGTAGGATGGTGTTATACGTATAATCCTGAGCTTACGGATAAATAAAATGTGTGAACTTTCTGTTATGACAATTTGATCGCTTACGTTAGAAGTAACACGAACACAAAGTTAATTAAAATTTACTTTATAAAGTAATTCTGTCAATAGTACGGGACAGGATAAGACTCTTTTTTATTAGTACATTTTGAATTGTTATACCTTTTTTTTTAAACAGGTTGAAATAAAGATTCCAATTTTCGTATTTTTTTTTTTTTCAATCAAAAATCTGAAAGAGGGGTTTTTAATTTTCAAAAAAACTTTTAATGGTTGAAATATGTGAATTTTAGAAATTTGGCATATATCGACATGTATACGTATCGATATATAATTTTACGGTTTAATTGGTTGATTTATTTTTCTTAATATAAATAAAAATTGTCATCTTGCACTGTTATTAAAAAATGGATATCTTATGCTGTCTTGTAGTAATACTGTAAGCAAATTCTTATCATAATTTACTGCTTACTTGATTATTAAAAGGAAGTCAGGAATCTAGTATCTGCGCAAAGCACGAAAATCACAGATAAATAGATATGCAAGTATTTTATTAACTTTGTAACATTTGTTCGGAATTCTAATACATATGAAAAAACTGTTTGGTGATGCGGTTTATCTAATAAGGCTAAGCACGAGCCACAATGATCAAAAAAAAACATAAATATCCAGCATTTCCGAACTGAATTCTAAATTTAATTATATAATCTTTTTTCTTTTATTATTATTATTATTATTATTATTATTTTCTTTTTTTTAAATAATATCCTTTCTCTTGAATATGTATGACTCAAAAGTTAAAGAATCATCATTAAATTTCGATCTGAAAATATATGAATTTTGTTCAGACTTTAGCATCTTTGTTATAAATGAGTCTTTACAAGAAAATGGAGAACAAAGTTCAAACATAACTCCAAAAGAGTATAAAGTTCATCGATATGTTTTATCTCAACAATCAGATTATTTCAAAGTACTATTTGAGTCTTCTCAAAATTTCATTGAACACAAAGAAAATGCTGTTGTGATTCGGTTAAAAGATCCTTTCAACGTCTTTCCACAAATCCTTCGTTATATGTACACTGGATATATTTCTATTAATCACAAAATTCTCATTTCAATCCTTTCAATATCTAATCGATTCGCGATCGAAAAACTTACCATACACGCCACAACATATTTCGATAACTTTTACGATTATAAAAGGAAAATACCCTTAAACTTGTCTTTTATTTCCGCTCAAGAAATATATACATTATATTTAGATGCTATAGAGAATGAATTTGAAGAGGTAATACCAGATTGGCTGTTGGCTATTGCATTCGATGAACTTTGGGAAATCGATAATGATGTGATGAGCTCTGTAAGGTTAGATCGTGTGCTAAAATGCGATTGTGTTAAATTAAAAAATGAGGATCAAAAATTTTCAGTTATTAGAAAGATTGTAGCAGATTTCTGTGGTACTGAAGAATATGATGAAACATTTGAAGAAAAGTGGAATAAAATGGCATTAAAAGTTGCAATGCCTTTTCCTGATATATTAGAAGAATCTGAAGAGTCCAGCGAAGAAAGTACCGTGACAGAGGCACAACAAAATGAAAACGAAATAGGTGAAGAGACTGAAAAGCAGATTGATGATGGTAATTCTAGCTCAACATTGCATTCTCAACAGACAAACGGCATTGTTGAGAATGACGCTAATGAAGATGAACATTTGGAATTTACTTTGCACGATATAAAAGAGGCCTACGAACGATTAAAGCATAATAATAAGTTGTATGAATGGTTCAAACTCGTTAATTATTCTTTGCTCGATCCAAAAAATTGGGAAGTTGCTCTTGCAGATAATTTGATACCTAATAAACTCGTCTTGCAAGGATTATTTGAAGTATTAAAAAAAGATGATATTGAAAAGGAAACTTCAAAATCGTATGTATTGATTATTTTAAGACATTTCGAATTCTGCACCTTTTGAGTACCTATTTAAATAGTTTGTCTATTACTAGATTCTATATTATTTGCTATACTTACAACCCAAC